AACTTAAGTTTAAAAAAATGGAACAGGAAAGAAGACAGCAAGAAGATCAAAAAGCTGAAATACGTTTTTTACGAGAACAAGAAATGTTAAAAATGAGGCAAGATGCAGAAGAAACTAAGCAGAAGTTAAAAGAGGTATTTATAAGTGTTTTTAAATGAACACTCAAACATGTTTTCATACGTCAGTTGGACTTGTCATTATTTGAGGTCTCTATGTAAATAACATTGTTGATGTTTGGGCCTTTATGTGAATTAGCCTTATCAATTTCAAGAAAACATCAAGAAAAATTAAAAAAATAGAAATAAAGGAATTTGTCTTATGTATTATAAATTTATGAAGTAAACAATAATAAAATAATCCTAAATAAAAATAAATTATCACTTTAAAAAAGCAGTTAAAGTATTGTAATAGTGTTATAAAAAAGTTTTTGGAATGATAAATTTAAAGTGATTTAAAGTGACTAAAACATTTATATCCACAAATTTTTATAAAATAGCTTCTTTACATATAAAACATCAGACAAACCAAATATTAGACTACTTTTTGACAACTTGTTATTTACGTCAAAGTTTCACTAGTCAATTCTAGGTTGTTCCGGTTGAAAATTTGGTTTATTCAAAAAAATTTATTACAAGTTGTTCAAAACTATTATACAGACAATATTATGAAAAAAACAAATTATTTGGTGTCCTAATGAGAAAACCAATTTTTAAAGAGGGTCAGGGCAACTTTTTCCCTCTCCCCTTGGCCCCCTTTATTTATTAAAAAAAAAATTATAAATCATATATATATATATATATATATATATATATATATATATATATATATATATATATATATATATATATATATATATATATATTACTCTGAAACGGTATAATATAATCCAACATAATCTTTTTTAAAACTATATGGTATAATATACAAGATATGTATAAACTATGTAATCAATAGCAAATAAAGAATCTAAATTCTATGACTTGAATATTCAACTATTGCCTTTCTAAGAAGCTCTCCATGGTTAAATATTAACTCTGAAGTTGAGAATATGTTTAGTGTTTTTAACATATTATAATGAACAAATTCAGAACATTGCTCAGAAAATACTCCTAATGGCAGCTTAGTTTAAAACATGAAAAGATGGTGTTTAATTATATAACCTTTCAATCCCATAGAAAGATTGTGGTTGAATGTAGTTTTCACAATATTTTGATTTTTCTTAATTAATATCTTAAAAGACACCACTTAATATACACAAAAATTAAAATTTTATTTTTATATGTGTAAGATTTTTATACATTTATGTAATTGTTATCTTCAACTTATTTATATATGTTGCAATGGCATCAGCATAAGGATCATGGAGCCTGTAATAGAATATCGTATCCGCCTAGAATATCATATCCCCTATAAGAAGATTAAAAACGCAGACGCGATTTAAAGTTATAGCATTTAGAAGTGCACCTACGCCGTCCGAAATAAATTTCGGACATAAACAAAGTATATATGGTTAAAGTAAAATCAAATATATATATATAAATCTATTTTAATTATAAAATTGATACTATATCGCATATTTTACTTAGTTTTATAACGAAAACGATTCTTATACAGAGGGGATATGATATTCTAAGTATAAAATTGATACTATATTGCATATTTTACTTAGTTTTATGTCGAAAACGATTCTTATACAGGGGGGATATGATATTCTAAGTATAAAATTGATACTATATTGCATATTTTACTTAGTTTATATCGAAAACGATTCTTATACAGGGGGGATATGATATTCTAAGTATAAAATTGATATTATATCGCATATTTTACTTAGTTTTATAACGAAAACGATTCTTATACAGAGGGGATATGATATTCTAAGTATAAAATTGATATTATATCGCATATTTTACTTAGTTTTATAACGAAAACGATTCTTATACAGGGGGGATATGATATTCTAAGTATAAAATTGATACTATATCGCATAGTTTACTTAGTTTTATGTCGAAAACGATTTTTGTACAGGGGGGATATGATATTCTAAGTATAAAATTGATACTATATCGCATATTTTACTTAGTTTAATGTCGAAAACGATTCTTATACAGGGGGGATATGATATTCTAAGTATAAATTGATACTATATTGCATATTTTACTTAGTTTTATGTCGAAAACGATTCTTATACAGGGGGGATATGATATTCTAAGTATAAAATTGATACTATATTGCATATTTTACTTAGTTTATATCGAAAACGATTCTTATACAGGGGGGATATGATATTCTAAGTATAAAATTGATACTATATTGCATATTTTACTTAGTTTATATCGAAAACGATTCTAATACAGAGGGGATATGATATTCTAAGTATAAAATTGATATTATATCGCATATTTTACTTAGTTTTATAACGAAAACGATTCTTATACAGGGGGGATATGATATTCTAAGTATAAAATTGATACTATATCGCATAGTTTACTTAGTTTTATGTCGAAAACGATTTTTGTACAGGGGGGATATGATATTCTAAGTATAAAATTGATACTATATCGCATATTTTACTTAGTTTAATGTCGAAAACGATTCTTATACAGGGATATGATATTCTAAGTATAAATTGATACTATATTGCATATTTTACTTAGTTTTATGTCGAAAACGATTCTAATACAGAGGGGATATGATATTCTAAGTATAAAATTGATATTATATCGCATATTTTACTTAGTTTTATGTCGAAAACGATTCTTATACAGGGGGGATATGATATTCTAAGTATAAAATTGATACTATATCGCATAGTTTACTTAGTTTTATGTCGAAAACGATTTTTGTACAGGGGGGATATGATATTCTAAGTATAAAATTGATACTATATTGCATATTTTACTTAGTTTATATCGAAAACGATTCTAATACAGAGGGGATATGATATTCTAAGTATAAAATTGATATTATATCGCATATTTTACTTAGTTTTATGTCGAAAACGATTCTTATACAGGGGGGATATGATATTCTAAGTATAAAATTGATACTATATCGCATAGTTTACTTAGTTTTATGTCGAAAACGATTTTTGTACAGGGGGGATATGATATTCTAAGTATAAAATTGATACTATATCGCATATTTTACTTAGTTTTATATCGAAAACGATTCTTATACAGAGGGGATATGATATTCTAAGTATAAAATTGATACTATATTGCATATTTTACTTAGTTTTATGTCGAAAACGATTTTTATACAGGGGGGATATGATATTCTAAGTATAAAATTGATACTATATCGCGTATTTTACTTGGTTTTATTTCGAAAACGATTCTTATGCGGGGGGGATATGATATTATAATAAGTTTTATGTCGAAAACGATTCACTGTTATATTGTTTTTAAACTAGACAAAATAGTTTTTAAAACAAAAATTACTGCTGGCTATGATTACTGCTATATATGAATCCAATTTTAGTTTACTACTTTGGGAATTTTATATCATTTACTAAGTTTATTGTATTGGTAACTTTTTTATTACTAAAAAAAGAATTTTGTTATAAAAAAAAAAGTGTAAAATGCATAACATCCCAACTATTACAATACATTGGAGGGCTTTCATTGGAAATGATTTTTTTTTTTAACATTTTCATTTCCAACAAGACTAGAAGTACCTACTGTTAGAGAAAAGATGAAACTCATAGAGCAAAATAACAACTAACAGAAAAATTAATAGATTGTGTATTATATGAATAAAAAAAAAGCTGAAGCAAGTGAAAAAAAAGTTTCACGAAAAAACAGATAAGAATTTTTTGGGCACTTAGGAACAGTCATAGTAAAAGGATTAGCCTTTATTGAATGATGAGTAACACAAAAGTGAATTTTAGTAGATGACACAAGAGACGCTAGCTCTTTAGAGCAGTGTCCATAATAGTATTTATAAAAAATAAAAAGAGAAGCTAAATTATGATAATGTTCTAATGGTTGGAGGTTGGCTGCAAGAGCAGGTCAAGGTGCAAAAACAATTCCTTTTTGTACCTTGTCTAAAAGAGAAAGACCATTACTGGAAGATCTGATTAAGATATGACAAAAGTGTTTCATGCAGGGATGGATTTAAGATTTATAGAGATAAGATATTTATAAATATTTATAGAGATGTTTGAATTGATGTATACTTTTAAATTTAATATTGTATCATTGTATAATACGTCATACATGTAATTAACATGCTTATACAAATTCCTGTATGACATTCAGTTTATATAATTGTTGCGTTTAGGATTTTTGTAATTTAGTTTTAGAAGAGAAGAGAAAAATCGTGTATGCTTAAAATTATGTTATTATACAATCATAAGTTGACAATATATTCAAAGACTGAAATTTGGCACAATTGTTTTAAGCAAAAGGTCTTTGCACACCACCAATTAAGTATTTATATTTCAAGAAATGTTTATTGATAAAAGCTTGCCTTAATTTACATAAATAGTAATATTTGTAGATATTATCTACTAGGTAATAATTTATATTAAAAACTAACCTTTATATGTCTCTTTTTCAAATATGTTGATATATTATCCCTGGCTTTTAGTTTATGACTCAAAATTTAAACATCAATTCTTGAGGTTTAACTATCTTATCATTTCTAAAAGTATCAAGTGTAAACAGCCTAACTCACCATACCTAATCAAAATAAAAGAACATTATAAATTCGCATCTTTTTAATTTTATGAATGATTTTTATTTAAACATTAAAACAATCTTTTGCTTGAAATTTAATGCATATATTTCATAAAGCAAATAAAAATTAAATAATATATACATAAACTCTAAACTATATACAATAAGTTTTTTTTATTAATTTAATCTAATAAACTCTAACTGTAACTATAACTCTCAGCTAGAATATCAAATAAATAATTCTAAACTATAACTTATAATTATAAAAAATTTAACTAATTATAAAAATATAAACAGTTTAAAAAAAATAAAATCCAAACGCTAAATAATCTATAATATTACATTGAAATAATAACAAAATCAGAAAAAATTTCAATAATAACATTGTTTTTGTTGTCGTTGAACTTATCGCGATACTCGATTTCCTGGTTTTCGCTTTTAAACTTTTCGCTTTAACGTTCTTTCGCTTAAAACTTTTCGCTCTTACGTTCTTTCGCTTTTAAACTTTTCGCTTTTACGTCCCATTACCAAAATTGATACTATATCGCATATTTTACTAAGTTTTATGTCGAAAACGATTCTTATACAGGGGGATATGATATTCTTAGTATAAAATGTTTTTAATGTTCTTTGTTAATATGCCTGGGTTTTAAAAATCAACAAACAAAAACAACGTTGTTTTTCAAAAGTTCAACTTTTCAAAATCAATGTTTTTAATTGTTTTGCAATCAACTCTGATCATGGCAGACATATCTAAAATTATAACATCAATCTAAATAAGTTGTTTATATTATGACGTTTTATTTATTTTAAAATGAAAACAAAAAAATTAAGTACAAAAGTCAACAAAGTAGCGCTAAAATTGAAATGATTATGTTAACAGCTTACATTAGAAAGAGAAACGTTTGAGCAAGTAAATAAATCACTTGTTTCTTTTGCATAATCAATGCATTCCATATGAAACCATCTATTTGGAATGCAGTTAGCACATTTTATCTATAAAACAGTAGTGGTTTTTCAGGTAATGCACCTTCTTTTAGTTGATTAAAAATAAACGTTTAACTTTAAAACGTAATAATAAAAAACGTAAGCAAATCTAGTTAATATACCCATTTATCTGACTTTTTAATTTGTTGTGTACTTGGTCCTCTTTCATTCCCACAGATTCGACAAAGTTTATCTTGCCATCTTCTCTGACCTATTAATTTAAACATTCACCACAGTTTATTATTTTTTTTAAAGATTCCTTTTTGTCAACATCAAAACTACTGTTAACAGACCTCCTCTTTCCATAAGTAAATGCACCACTTTCTTTCTAAACTCTATAACATCTTCTAGTGGAAAGTTAAGCGCCAACTCTGATTCATTTATATAATTTTCAGCAAACTAAAAATAATTATTACAACCTCTTGATATAATTCAATGATACAATTAAAACTAAAAAGAAATAACTTTTAATTTCTATTATTTCGTTTTAAGTAAATATATGAATGTTATGACTTCATATGGTTTCAACACAATATGCATGCAGTACTAAGATCAGGTTTACTTAAAGGTTATATTACTTTTATGATTAGATTATATTTAAATCTTTTCCTTATGCTTTTGGTTTAAAATTTTTGACACTTTGATACACAGTAAATACTTTTATATTTTGTCATTGAGTCCACATTTTGTGATGCGCTTCTAATTTTTCCAAACAATTTATTTGTTCAAATTTATCACAACTACATGTTTTAATAAAATTACCTTCAGACAAAATACTCCACATGATATATTGTCAGTTTGTAACGCATGTGGTAATGTCACTAACTCGAATTTCTCTATAACACTGTATCTTTGCATCAAGTAACTACTAAGATATGTACAAAAAAATTAATTAATTCTTTTTTAATATCTGATTAATTTTGAATTTCAAATTTCAAAATTTAAAGTCATTGATATAATAACATACTTCCACTTTTTTTCTTCTTTTAATATAGAAGCTTTGGTTTCACCAAGAGGGTTAATATATAGGATTATTTTCTCACGTGGTTTGATAATCTCAAGAAATAAAGTCTCCAAATTAATTATAGAAATTACACTACAATAATAAGTTCAGGATTTTCCGACTAAACTACTGAAAATAATAAATATATGTGATTTAAAACTGGTTGGTTAACATTGGAAAACAAAACCTTAGTCGCACATTGAAAATATTTCTATATAAAAGAAATGGCACATTAAAAAAAATATATTGTAATAATTTTACTGTAAGTTTCCAATGAAAATTCAAAACAACACAGCATATTAAAATATCAAGCTTAAAGAGCTCATTCTGAAATGAAATAAAAATTTTATAAGCATTACTATATATATATATATATATATATATATATATATATATATATATATATATATATATATATATATATATATATATATATATATATATATACATATACATATACATATATATATATATATATATATATATATATATATATATATATATATATATATATATATATATATATATATATATATATATATATATATATATGTATATTTATAACTGTTTTATCCAACAGTACAAAACAATAAATTACCACATGTTTCCTTCTTATCAAGTCAGTTGGATGTGGCAACTCTTCTAATGAAAGTAACCCAGCTGGCGCCAATACTTCGATTCGATACTTATTATATATTCAAATGTATATATATATATATATATATATATATATATATATATATATATATATATATATATATATATATATATATATATATATATATATATATATATAGTTTAAACAGCATAGTAGTAAATATTTAAACAGGTAATATAAGATACTTCAACGCTAGAATATTGTTATTAACTATTTTTTCTAAAAAAAATCTTACCTTTTTCTGATCGCTTGCCAAAAGTCTAAGATAAACGTAAACAACTTCATCGCTTAGACAGCCATTTAAAGCATCATGTAACGAGTAATCGTATATCTTACAACCACCCAAACTGGAATAGATACCCATTACAGCTTTAATAGGTTTAATCTGACAAAGATATTCCATCAGTATATCACCTATTTTGAATTGCAATAGTGCTACATCTTATGATTACAATTAAATACTATAGACTATTAACATATACTAAAAAAACTCCATAAAACTTTCAAAAAGATTAAAACTAAACATTTTATTATTAGTTATATTTTATAAGTAGTTATATTTTTATATTTAATTGGTGTGCCATTACATGCTAATTAATTGATTGGTGTGCCATTAAATGCTACGTACCTTTAAAATCTTCGATCAGGCAACTTATTTTTGTATCTGTTACCACTATAAATATACATGAAGCATATTTACATATTATAGACATATTTGATTTTAGCAATTAAAATAACAATAAGATAATTATTGTAATGATAATTATTTTATCGAAAAGATTTAATGTGACCAGTAAGAAGTAGGGTTGAGGAAGAAGTTTCTTTTAATCTGTATTTTGATGATTACTGGTACATGTCATAAACCCGATTATACATCTTGCTGGCCTCTGATTGTAAAAAAAGTCTTTTATATCATACTCTATGACAGAACAATATATACCTTCAATGCTTTCAACATTGCTGCAATGTTCTGTAACAGTATTCTCTAAAACATTATCTAGAAATTAAATTATTGACTTTATTTTACATTTTCTAATATATTGGAAAACTATTACTTTAAAAAATTCCGTTTTAGTCAAACTCTCAGGGGTAACAGATAAATAGTACAACCTAAGTATATAAAGACGATATGTATCATCCTGTTGGACCGTCACGTCAGGGTATCCTTACGTCAAGTCACGTTATCCTGCTACTGGTAACATGTAGTCCAGTACAACCTGATCATGTTAATGTCAGGAAGGACATCCGGTTGTAAAATATTGCTTCAACTCTCTCATAATGGCATTAATGTCATTATGAAAACCATCCAAACCAAACATAAAATTACATCTAAAAATTACATTTAAAAAATTATAAACCGCACAGCATTTTTCAAAATAACTATAAATTATTATAAATTTATATAAAATAGAAAAAAAAAAAATTTTTTTCAATTTAAAATTAGTTACTAATTTTTTCTTTCAACAATTAAATTAAATATTAAATACCTTTCTCCAAACTTTCAATGAACTTTTTAATATGCAATTTTTTGTGAGTGCTTTTTAAAGGAATGTTATTCAAATCATTGAGTTTAAAATTCCCACATTTTGTAATATGGGCTACATAATAAGGTCCTTTAAATCTTGGCTTGAATGCAGCCCCTTTGCTTCTTCTTCCTCTTATGTCCAGAAGTAAAACCTTATCTCCTACCATAATTGGGTCAGCAGATACTTTACAATTTTTTTGGACTCTAGCATCATAATATTTTTTTTGTTTTGCTTGAGCATCTTTGATGTTCTAAAATCAATTGAGTGTTGATACACAACTATAATTTTATAAAGATAATGTGTACAACTTTTGGTCAGTCATTATTTCAACTAAGTAACTCAAGTTACACTTACCTTAGAAATTAGATTTGTTAAATTTTCAACGTGGTTCCTATTTTTTTCAACTTCAACTATAACTTCTTCCTCTGTTGGACCCAAAACAATAATTTCCTAAATAATAAATGCACTTGTAATTAATAAAATAAACATTTTTTTTTTAATTTTACAAAATGTATTTACTTCTTTTAATTCACTACTAAAAACTGGTAAGCGACCCCCAAACATAATCTCAAATGGTGAAACTTTTGTAGAGGTTTGTCTTTCAACTCGTAGTGGATACAAGACTACATCAAGAAATTCATCCCAATTGGACTGATTTTCATCAATTAGTTTTCTTATTTTTCTAATAAAAATCCATGAAATAAAGTAACAAAATAATTCTGTTACAAATAGGTTCTAACAAAATTTAATTTAATTGTTTTTATATAACCAGTCTAGAATTTAAAAATACACAAAATAAGACTGAATGCCTTTTTATATTTTTGTTTGTGTTTTCATCTTGGCCATTTGTTTGAGGATGATAAACAGCCGTTTTTCTTCGCTCTATTCCTAACAACCTATACATTTCGTTGTTTAACTAGAAAGAATGTAAAATTTTAGTAATCTCATCAAAATATTTTGTTTTAAATTAATGTTTTAAAAGTCTTTACCTCATTACAAAACTCTGAACCATTGTCAGAAAGTATTACAGATGGAAACCCAAATGTAGTTACTAACTTAATTATTGACTTGGCTACCGTTAAAGCCTCCTTATTTGGCAATGCATAAGCAACAGGCCACTTTGAAAATAAATCCGTGCAGCTCATAAAATATCTATTTCCCATAGATGTTTCTGTAAATGGGCCAGCAAAATCTATCCCAACAATTTCCCATACTCGCGTAGTCTAAAAAAATTATCTCAAATATTACTACTGTATTTGGTCAATTTTATATCTACAATTGTTATTAAATTAACTATTTGACAAATTTCTATATTTATAGAGTAGAGTAAAAAAATAATAATTTATTTTTAAATATTTTTTACAATATTTCATTTTACCTTTATTGAATGTAAAGGCTCTGAAACAGAAATCAGCTGACCAGATGTTTGACAACGCTTGCATTGTTTTACCTGTGAGATAAGCATTTGTCAGAATTACTAAGAAACCTTTAGTTAAAATATGTGATAAAAAACATATGTAATATAGATAAATATGCCCTGTTGTCTTTGCTGTATATCTTGGTAGACATTGGGCCTTTAAAGGAGTTAAAACAGTCAAGTTATTTTGAATAATTTAAAGAAAAAGTATTTAAAACGGTCAAAGATTTATAAAACAAAATGGAAGCATTAAAAACCAAGAATTATATAGAGGGAATATTAAAAGTTTTTGATTTTGAAAAGAAAGCAATTTACCCATTTTATAATATCTCCGCTGATATTAGGCCAATAATACTTTTCCATAATTTTGGCTTTTGTTTTTGTTTGGCCACTATGTCCTCCTAAAGGACTGTCATGCTCCAATGTAAAAATTTTTAGTCTTTCCTCCGTGTCCATAATAACATCTGCATAAACAGAATTCCCACACACAGTTACTTTTCGCTTGAGCTTACCATCTACAAAAAATTTACAACTTGAAAAACATTATCAGTGAAAGAATGTAAAACAAGAATATTTTTAACTATCATACCTTGTACACAATACTTTTTTGCCACACTTCGAAACGTACGTTTATCATTTTTTCCAAGACCAGGTGGATATATATTTTCGGTCAAATATGTAATAAAATTATAAAAGTATTGTGGTTGTTTTTCTTCCTTTTCCAATACAGGCTGAAAAAAAACTAAAAATATTTATTGTTATATTATATTAAATAACTTTCAAAATTTATATATATATGTATTTTTTGTTATTCACCTCCTCAAGGCCGAGAAGGCCACTACAGACGAGGAGGCTACTTATTAGTGGTTATAACCCTCTCTCGACTCTATAACTCCGAAACACGAACCTTGACAAACAAGGCCGCTGCGAGGAGAAACAAGTTGAGCGCAGTAAAACAAGGGACATGGTGAGGATCGAACTCGGAACCTCTCGCTTATGAAGCAAGTGTTTTACCACTACACCACTACCGCATGATATATAATATATAATACCATATAATATATAATAACACTTCCCACATATAACTTAATAAAATACCAATTCTATATTATATGTATTATTTGAACATCATTAAACTTTTACTAATTTTCATTCGGCATTTAGAAATGTATTGAAATATCAATGTAGAAAACTACGTATTCAAAATATGAAAATTTTACACAATTTTGCCTTTTGGTTATTAAAATATTTCTAACTATTATTATTTTTCCTAAATGCTATAACTTAAAATCATGATAGCGTTTTTATAAGGGTCGCGATAATCTTTTACAGACAACAACATAAATAATGCAATTATTACTTTTTAACTAACTTTACATAATACATAATTATTATTTAAATTAAGATTAACCTGGGCGATTTGTGATGATTCTTTATTGGAACTGTTTTCATTTTCACTAAAATCAGCACTACCATTCAAAAGTTCCTGTGTTAACAAATAATTAAATAATAAGGAAGTGTTATTATATATTAAATAAGTCATAACAAAAGAAACAATTAATAAGGTCATAATATCATTATTGCGCTTAAAAAAAAAATCAATCTAAAGATGTGAAACCTTGCTTCCTGCAACCAGATTTTTATCTAAAAATAAAAAAAACATACAATTATGGCAATAATAATTTGTTACATTTTATTAAAAAAAAAAGCAACAGGCAGTAAGAGGAACCACCGTCAAGTGAATTTTGTATTCCATTGAACAAATTTTGATTAGTGGAATAATTTTCTATAGCCCAATGGGGTCCAACTTATTGAGCACATATTGTACTGTCTAGACACAGCAAACAAATAATCATTACCTGCAGAAAAAGCATCATCTTCATCAGGCAATTTATTCACTAGCTCATTAGTCCTGAAATGAAATCAATCATTCAATCAATATATTTAATTACCAATAGTAAATTACAAAATAAACCATAAAAAATATTGATTGATACCAAATTTAGTCTTAAACTTAAACAAACCTTTGTGAAGAGTAAGAGCTTAACAATACTTCAGCCTAGTAAAACATAATATATATATATATATATATATATATATATATATATATATATATATATATATATATATATATATATATATATATATATATAAGACTAAATATATATATATATATATATATATATATATATATATATATATATATATATATATATATATATATTTATATATATATATATCTGACTTTTGCCTAACTATGTGTATAATAAATGATTATTTCTAAAAAATATTTAAAATAAATTATTACCATATTATATTACAATATTAATTAATATGCAATTTAATTAACAATACTTTATTTCTTGAAATTCCTTCCAATTCAGCAAACAAATACAATATTGCTTCAGGGACCAAGACTTTAAATGTAAAATCACTATGCTGAATGAAAAAACAAAATTTTAAACTTTTCTTTTTTTTTAAAATAATTTTTAAACAACTTAAACAACTTTAAACATAAATAATCAATTTTTTATTCCCTTATAAGTTATAACACTTACCTTAAGATTATCTGAGAATTCGCGTAAAGCCAAAAATATATAGTCTTTTTGATCATTTGACAACAAATGCATCAAATCTTGGTCCATAAGGTTCCCTTTTATTTTAAAATTGAGTTGATTTTTTGAATATTTTGAAAAAAATTAAAAATTGTTTTCTTATGTCTATTACACAATATTGTAATATTTGATAAAGTTTAAAAAAAAAGCACAATATAGTTAACTTAATATTGGTAAAATTTAAAATAAAACTTACTTTTTGATTTTGCACCAGATTTATAAATAATATATCTATAACTGTATAGCTATAAGACAATAAAATAATGGTAGAACTTTGTTTTTAAAAAGTCTGAAAAAACATTACCATAATAATGTATAAAGTTAAAAACAAAAAAAGAGTCAAATTTTTGTTTAAGAATTTTGACATAATGTTTAATACTTGTTTGGTTTGAACTCATTTTCTTAACTCATATTTCTTAATTAAAGTTGTAAGAAATTTTTAATAATGACATAAGTTACACATACTTGACCAGCAAAAATTGACTTAAGCAATGCTGATGATGAAATTTTACTAATTGATTGCTTTGTAAATTTTAGAAAAGCTAAATAATAAACACACATTATTATAAATATATATATAAAGAAACACACTTGCACACACAAACATATACATATATATATATATATATATATATATATATATATATATATATATATATATATATATATATATATATATATATATATATATATATATATATATATATATATATATATATATATATATATATATATATGTACATATATATATATGTACATATATATATATATATATATATATATATATATATATATATATATATATATATATATATATATATATATATATATATATGTATATATATATATATATATATATATATATATATATATATATATATATATATATATATATATAGTATATATATATATGTATATATATATATATATATATATATATATATATATGTATATATATATATGTATATATATATATATATATATATATGTATATATATATATATATATATATATATGTATATATATATATATATATATATATATATATATAATATATATATATATATATATATATATATATATATATATATATATATATATATATATCGTCAGCTGAGAACCAAGAGGACGTATGTCCACTTTTTGTGATTCTGAGTAATCCGAAATTCAAATTTTGGGGCACAAATACCGACTGTTGTACTTTATGTAAACTATTCCTATTTTTAGATCTAATAGTAAATTAAGTCTAATTTTCTATAGAAGTGATAAAATCTTGTTTGAAAGGGTCGTTTAACAATAAAAACGTTGCAAACTGAACCTGGAAATATGGACATGCAGCCTGTTGGTTTTCATTTTTGTTAAGTTTATAATATTTAAATGCTTTTTTTTTTTTTTTTTCCGAAAGCGCTTTATTTGATGACATTAAATGTGAAATATAAAAAAAATGTTTTTAATTTTCGGTGGGACTTTTGCTGGTTCTATTTTTAACCTCTTTACTGGTTCGTACCTTACTTTACTACTTCGCACCTTACTTAACTTAACCTTACTTAACCTTAGTTAACCTCTTTGTTAGCCCTTTAAAGTATTTATAAAACTATAATGTAGTTTTAAAGATCATAAAACCAAATAATACTGCAAACATTTTATTTTGCTAATGAGGGTCAGTTACATTGGCACAAACACAAATGATTAATAGTACAATCAAAGTTACATAATTTTAAATTTTAAATTTAAAAAAAAAAAATTTGTTTAAATGTTTTAAGGTGGTAGCAATAGTTACTATGAATTAAAGACTGATTCAAACAATCTGTTACAGTTAAAAATTAAGTACAACGACCTGCAAATTAAAATTTATACAATATGATCAAAATTAAAAAGATAATAAAAAGTTCATAAAATAAAAAAGTCAATAGAGCTGCAAATTGCAGCAAAGAACATTGGCCAATAGTTAAAGTAAAACACTAGTTAAATGATTGCAATACTAATGTCATATATTCATTGTCTTGAAGAGGCATGAACTTTATCATCGATTTTAGATCTTCTACCTTTTCCTTCGATATAATTTTTTTTTTGGAAGCATCTTTGCTTGCAAAAATGTTTCATGATTTCTTATTATTTTGTTAGCTGAACTTTGGTTTCGTGTTTTAAAGTTGACAATATTTTCCACTTTATATTCACAATCAAATGTATTCTTGTATTCCACACTCAATGGCTTATCTGCTGAGTATTTAAGTACCTTTACTTTAGCATATGGAATATTTTTAAGCAACAAATAATTCTTTGCAACAGATTGAAAGTCCATCATCTGCTCTTCTTTAATTTGAATCAACATAATTGGATTCAAAAATATAACTATTTTAGGCCGCGTAACTGTAGGATTACCATACATATATATATATATATATATATATATATATATATATATATATATATATATATATATATATATATATATATATATATATATATATATATATATATATTTATATATATATATATATATATATATATATATATATATATATATATATATATATATATATATATATATATATATATATATATATATAAACAATAATTTAATAAATTAACATAACACATAATACAAATCAAATACTTTGCATTGTCATGAAAATTATATAAGTTTATTTTATGTTAGTTTATCATTTTCATCAAGTAATTTACAGAATTACTTACTTAATATTTTATCATTTTAATATAAACACATAATACATCTTTAGACTTTTTGTATTTAATAATTAACATAACACATAATACAAATATAGAGTGACAAGGATACCTCTTTTAACTACAACAACTTTTTCTTGGTAAGATATACCACTTATAGAATCTATTAAATGAAAGAATATCTGTTTTATTTGATTGAAATATAATTATTCTAAGACAAATTAAAAATTACATAAAAAATTATATACCTGCACATGTGTTGCAAATTTTGAGAAGATCATTTTCCCATAATGTATAACATCCAAAATTACATTTATCATTATCGGTCAATTTTTTACATAAAACACAATTAACAAATATTTCCTCCATTGTAAATATGTAAACTATATAAAATATATATATATATATATATATATATATATATATATATATATATATATATATATATATATATATATATATATATATTTATACATACATACATACATATATATATATATATATATATATATATATATATATATATATATATATATATATATATATATATATATATATATATATTTATATATATATATATATTAGCATTCTCAAACTAGGTTTAAGAGTCAAAATGCTAGGTATTGTATAAACTAGGACAACATACGTGGTATTATATCGTTGTATATTAAATTAATTTGTTGGTTAGAATATCATATCCCCCATGCATGGGCCATGGTAAAAATAATATGAATACCATTGACCTAATAACACATGATATGATACGTATTATTTCAACATCTTTTAACTCTTTAAACTCTTTTTAAAGCATTATAATTCATATGTAGAAAACAATATTTTCCCACTACTATAAATCAATAAAATCTTCCAAATATATTTAAAAACTCATTTGTTTTTCATTTCGGACGACTTCGGTGCACTTCTAAATACTATAATTTTAAATCGCATCTGCGTTTTCAATTTTCTTAAGGGGGATATGATAATCTAGGCGGATACGATATTCTATTACAAGCCTCATTTCAAAACACATTTACTACTAAATGTAAATTTTAGTGTCATTTGTGAGAAATTGCTGTAGATTAAATAAATATTTCTTTTTTAATTATAATTTACTTTCAATATTATTTTAATATTATGAATCAATGAATCAATATATTTTCTGAAATATTTGGTATTACATTTCAAGGTTGCTTACAAATAGTATAAACTACTAATATTAAGTAAACACCTAATAACAATGATTAAAATAGTTATAGTAATAATAATAATATTAAAAATATTTATAATAAAATAATGATAAATAATAATAATAATAACAATAATAACTTTTAACAATAATAATTAATAATAATAACAATAATAACGGTATAATTTTCTATACGACAATCGCTTATGCATACAAAGTTACAGTTACAAACAGTAATAAACTGACAAAACGTAACAACTAACGAATGACATAAAAACAACTATTGCTAAAAAAAATTATAAAGATTTAGTAAATATATTAATCTTATAATATCATAACCAAAATATATTACAAATAATAAATAAATAAAAATGTAAACAGAAACTAATTAAATAAAATGTAAACAGAAAAACACTTAAAAAATTAAAACAAAACAAAAGATACAACAAACATTACGAACAAAACAAAAAGTTACGTTAAATATTTTTGACAACAAAAAAAAAAACAATAAAAAAACAACAACATCAACATAAAAAAATAAAAACAACAACAAATAAAGAAGAAAAATATATAATATTACATGGTAGAATAAAACATATATAATAAATAGCTTAAATGAAAGTAAAAACAAATAATATATAACTGTATAAAAAATTATATATCGTTATTTAAATATAATTAATAACTAAAAGATAAAACAATAAATGACTAACAAAATATATAAAGTAAAACTTAGTAGGCTAAAATCTAAAGAAAAAACATTACTACAACACCGCATAACAGCAAAATTAAAAAATAAATCGTAAATAAAGAATCCTAAGAAATATATGAAATAAACCTAAAGAAATATATGAAAAAATAAAAAAATCTTGATTTGCCAATCTTTTTTGGATGTATAGAAATAGTTATTATTTTCTTTCTTTTCCATTCATTTTTATTTCATTCATTAGTTGTTGTTTTTTTTTTAACTTCTATTTTCCTTACTTTTTTACTTATTTCCTTTCAAATGTTTCTTTTCTTTTTCTTCTTTTAAAACATTTATTCATTCTTTTTTTTTTTTAGTTGATTTTATTTTTCGTTTAAGTTATAAATGTTTACTTTTTTCTTTTTTCCTCTTTTAAAAAAGATATTATCATCCGTTAGAAAAAAGCGTCCACCATTTGCGATGTCATTGCAAAGAACCAATGTATGCAAATTAATATTACGCAAAGAAATTTTAGACCACTTAATAGTGAATAATCTGATTAATATACAACAACATGAGTTCTTGCCTAGAAAATAATGTATAACAAACTTGTTAGAGACTATCAACTTTCTATCAACTTGTATGGAGAACAATAACTCAGCTGATATTATTTACCTCGATTTTTCTAAAGCATTTGACGCTGTTGCCCATAAAAGACTTTTACTTAAATTAAGAAATTATGGTATTGATAATCGTTTTATCTCATGGATTACATCTTTTTTAGAAAATAAAAAAAGAGTTGTAATTACCCAAATTGAGTCAGATTGGAAAGATTTTAGTGGTATTCCTCAAGGATCTGTGTTAGGTCCACTTCTTTTTATCATCTATATCAATGACATACCAAAAAACTTAACTAACTTATCTAAATTGTTTGCTGATGATACTAAAATCCTCAATCAAATATGCAACAACAGTTCTA